TGTTCTTATTTGTAATTTCTTTCCTTTTTTCATTCAGCAGTTGAATACAAATTTCAGCTGGAATGCATCCGTTTCTCAAAGTAAAAAGCAAAAACTTCGACTTACATTCATTCAAAGTCTCAGAAATCTGTGACAATTCTAAATCATGTCAATGTACAGGCTAGACCGCTAGACTACTAGAGTTGCCTTGATTATATTTCTATTTACCCTTGTCCCAGTAGTATTTCTCATTTCTGAAAGAGTCAATACTCCATCCTTATTTTATTGAATCTGGGCTTCTTTGTTATGAAGCGGTTAGTCCATACAATTTTCGATGCGATTTTCATCATGGGTCATCCGTAAACAGTCTCTTTGCTTTTGTTGTTGTTGGATTCCCAACCAAAAGTATTTTATTATTTGTTTCATTTCCAATTTTGGTAACTTTTACCTTTCTTTTTCATCTTATCTTTCCTGCTATTTCATTTTCTATTTTATACTTCTCTACTTATTTGTCTTCTCTTTCATATTTTTTCTAATAATGTGTCTTACTTTTTACATTTCTTCTAGACTATTCACTACCTTTACTATTTTCTTCTTAAACTCCATGAGAAACCTAGAGGAATAAATAAAAAATGTAGATGGAGTGCATTTTTCGTTTTCTTTCACTTGGGGTAGTGCAGGCTTTAGCAGGGGTGTCTATTTTGAATGTAAATATTTCTGGTTTGTTAGATATCTGGGGTTCTTTATCCTTTTCTGAATGCTGACATTTATATGTCTTATAAGAATGTGGATTCTATTTGTCAACAAAAAGTTGTTTCTTGTGACAGCTGATATTCGTGTTCATGAATTCTTCAAGACTTCTTATTTCAAAAAGGGGATACATCCAGTTCCAGGTGCTAGGCAAGCTCTGCAAAACCTGCACAGATTCTGCAACTATTCAATAGTTACGTATGTACTCCATGTTATGCCTCTTTATAGTGTTCCTAGTGTTGCAAGCTAATAGCTGTTTGGACATTCCTTCTCAGATCCCGACAAAATGCAATTAAAGATCACACATTAGAGTGGATTGAGTCGCATTATCCCGGTCTTTTTCAGAATGTTTGCTTTGGAAATCATTTTGCTTTAAATGGAAAATCCATACCCAAATCAGAAATTTGCAGGTAAATAGCAATCAAAATTCATTTTGTTGTCAGCTTGGTTTCTTTGCTGATATGATACACCCTCATTGAGGGCAAGTCGCCTGACTTATTTTTATTTTGTAGAAAGTTGAGTACTCATTTTCCAGCTTGTCAGCTATTTATTTTTACCAAACACTTCTGAATTGGTTAATAATGAATTGAGTCATTGACGTAGCTCTGGGCGTACTTTTTTGCTGAAGTAATTATATTTTCCTTTTATGAACAGACTATTTTACTATGTAATAATTTTCCTTTTTATTCCCGTAAGTCAGCAATTTCAGCAACTTTATCAATCATCTATATAACATAGTTTCAGCAATTTCAGTTTGATAAATGAATCAGAGAAGCTGGCTTAACCTTATTTACATGATGAACCAACTGTTGTGGTAGGTCTCTTGGGGCAAAAGTTTTGATTGATGACAATCCAAGATACGCAATGGAGTGTGCTGATGTGGGGATAAAGGTTCTTCTCTTTGATTATGAAAATTCTTATCCATGGTGCAAGACAGATATAGTTGAAGGTCACCCCTTGGTTACAAAGGTCCATAATTGGGAAGAAGTGGAGCAGCAATTGGAAGCATGGATTTTTCCTGAAATCACTGCAAAGTAGGTTCAGGTCTGTACTGTGATATTATAGATAGACACAAGTTAATTCATCTTTCTGTCCAGTCAGGGTGAACGCATTTTTTTTTTCTTTTTTCCCTTTTTTGAATATATACATTTATTCTTTTGTTGTTGCAAAAGCAGCAAGAGTTTAGGCTCCTGGATTAAGGAATGGAGCTTGTATAATAATTTAATTAATCAAAGTTGATTTGGTCATATTTTAAATTGGGCACGTCTGTTAGTCTGTATTTCATCTTTCAACTGCCTCCCATGAAATGCACAGATCAGATGCGCAAAAATGGGATTAAATATTTATATGCAGGAGTAGGAATGTTTTTACTTGGACTATTTTCAGTCCCAGACCAGACTTGAATAATTATAAAATACACAAAGACTAGAAATTTACCATACTAGTTCAGACCAGACCCGACTAGAAAATTTTTGTCCAAGTAAAAACATCCAAGATACTAAAAGCAGCTTTAGCAATGAAATTAATAATTAGAGTTGTAAGATGAAACCAAAACTGTGAATTTCACACTGATTTCATAAACAAATTGCGGTGGTACTGTTGAAAATTTTAAAATTGCTTTAAATAAAGGTTATACTCTATGTGTTTTTGAATTTTTTAAACGTTGATATTCCCTAACAAAAAGCATGTAGTAAATTAATAAATATAAAATTAAACAACTAAATACTCCTCGTGAATACATGAGTGAAGATGAGGATGAATTGATGAATGTGGTGACTTTTGTCCATCTAGCGATCTTTCACAGTTTGAATCAAGATTTTATATTATGTTAAGTTGTGTAGTATTTAACATAATATAAAATCTTATATTATTAAAACAAAAGGGCTTAAGTTAAAACAGGGGAATTCAGAACTAGGCCTGGGACCGGTTCGGTTCCTAGGCAAAATATGTGGAACCGTTTGAAAATATGAAATTTTACTAACGGTTCGGTTCTTATAAATTATTTGATAGAACCGATAAGGAACCGAACCGTTCTTAACGGTTCGGTTCTTGTCATTTAACGGTTCCTAGTCTTTGAATTTTTTTTACAAATTACAACTAAATTTTTGGAAAAAAGACATTCAACGTTGGAAATTACAATACAAATATGTTGAACCAGTTAAAGAGAATAATAATTTTAAATAGTTTGGACCTTCCAAGTTCTGACCCGCTGGAGTTTGGACCTAATGAGAGGCCTAAGAAGCCTAAGAGAACCGGTTGAAGTGAATAATAGTTTTAAATAGTTAAATAACAAAACTAAAACAATGAATGTAATATAAAAATAAGTAAGTAAATATGCATTAAAATATATATACTCCTAAGAATATGTATATAATTTTAATTATTATATATAACGGTTTTTAACGGTTCTTGGTACATATTTTTTTCAGGAACCGAGAACCGAACCGTTAATAAAAAATAGGAACTGAACCGTTAACAAATAACTAATAAATGTTGGAACCGAACCGAACTGAGTCATAACGGTTCGGTCCGGTTCGGTTCTCCGGTTCTTGGTTCCAAAGTCCCAGCCCTATTCAGAACTGGAATTGGAATACTCATATTGATAATTTAATCAGTATATACTAGGTATGCAAGTTGAATCAATTTGGATAAGATTCCATTCTCGGCACTAAATATTCTTCATTGATTGTTTGAAGGATTGTGATTTGACAAAAGTAGAATTAAAAGTTAACAAATACCCAAGCTCTTTCCTAGTGGGTCCCTCTATTGCATTTTCACCTTTCATGTTCAAGATTCTCCATAGTGCGGGTTTCTGTAATTCTGTTTAGTCATCGTCATCCTCACTACTAGGGATGGACTCGGGCCGGGCGGCCCGGCCCGGTTACTGTTTGAACCGGCCCGGCCCGGGAACCGGTCCGGGGGCGGTTCGGGTCGGCCCGGCCCGGTTACTGTGCGGTTCGGGCCCGGGCCCTTTGATTGGCGAACCGGCCCGGCCGGTTCGGGCCCGGTTCGGGCCAAATTATTTATTTTTTTTTTGAATTTTTTTTAAGTTTTTGGGTTGGGCTTGGTATTTTGGGCCATTTGAGGTGGTTTGAGGTGGTTTGGGGGTGAGGGTTGGGGATTAATTAGGAAAAGCCAAAAAAAAAAAAAAAAATAGAACCGAGGCCCGGCCCGAACCGGAACTGGGATTACCCGGGCCGGTTCCGAACCTCCCATTTCTGAACCGAGGCCCGTCCGGGCCCAGGCCCGAACCGGGCCCGAACCGGAACCGGAACCGGTCCACCCATACTCACTACCCCAATGCTACAAATAGGGGTGGACCCGGGCCCGGCCGGGCCTCGGGCCAGAAAACTGGGGCCCGAGCCCGAACCGCCGGTGGCCGGTTCCGGTTCCGGTTCCGGGCCAAACCGGGCCGGGCTGGGCCAAACCGGTCCATTTTTTTTTTTTGGTTTTCCTATTTAACCCCCTACCCCTCCCCCTCAACCCCAAACCACCTCAAATGGCCCAAAATACCTAATCCAACCCAAAACTTAAAAAAAAATCAAAAAAAAAAAATTAAAATCCGGTCCGGACCGGGCCCGAACCGGCCGGGCCGGTTCACCTAAAGCAGGGCTCGAGCCCGGACCGCCCATCACCTGGGCCGGGCCAAACCGAACCGAACCGATGGACCCACTGGGCCCCGGGCCGGGCCGGGCCGGACCAAACAGTAACCGGGCCGGGCCGGTTCTGGACCGGGCCGGTTCCGGATCAAGCCGCTCGGCCCAAGTCCACCCCTAGCTACAAAAGCTCCCCACCTATGATGAGATAAGGGGTTGGATGTATTCAGTCTTAGTCCTGTACTAAAACATAAAGAAACTGATTCTGGATGACCCATAATGAAAATTGAATCGAAAATTGCATTGACTAACCGCTGCTTCAGAATAAAGAAGCGCAAACAGTTTAGTGAGTTATTTTGTTTTATTCCATCATATTCCTAAACCAAAAAATAATGTGCTTGGCTCCATTGTAAATGATGTAAAATGCGAGTTTCTGTTTAGTAAGAAGTCAAATTCCCTGTTTTTTTCATAAGAAAAATATTGTGTTTGGCCTTAAACAAACACTCTTAACATGTTTGGTTGATGGGAGTTTTTCTATTCTCCTCACTTTATTCTCAATCAATGACAAAATACTCTCTTGTTTGGTCATCTTTCATTCCCTTGGGGATTTCTTTCAACTCTGAAGAATATACCTTCACATAACCGGTGTTGCTCTCTCGGAAGAAAAGGACTATGCTCAGGCAAAAATATGTGGGTAAACATTCACTATTGACATGTTTATTATTATTATTATACAAATTGGGATGACTAGTCATAAAACTTTTATTCCACCAACAGCAATGGCATTGGAATATAAGTTCCTTCTATGTTTTTCGTACATTTACACGGTTACACCTTATAAAACCAATGTTAGAATTTGAAGCTACTCAACTTTCTCCATCAGCTTTATACCATAAGCTTGCAGAATATCCAACGCTGCAAAGTAACATAAAATAACTCAGAATTTATGTTTTAAACACGAGGAAAAACACTAAAAGTTTGGCATTGCATTTTGAATATTCAATTAGCTAGCCATTCAACACATTGATCATTGACAACTTCACCCCCCACCTCACATACATTTCACATTCAAGAAATGAATGGGAAGTACCTGGTACGTAAACCTCAGCATCAGTTGGCCTTATAACACCAGTTGCTTTTATCTTGTTTGAAAGTAACAACTGTCAAGTAGAAGACATATCAATCTCATCAGTCCCCGCAGTTGATCCAAAAGTTTTTAAATTTTATTTCATGTGAAGATATATGATTAAAAAATTGAATCGAAAATTACCAATGCCCCGATGGCTGCGGGAATCCCAACAGTAAGAGCCATAGCGGTGGTCATCCTCCCATTATTAGTTCTTCCAAATTCCAAAAGAGTAGCTTCATGGGTTTCAGTTTGTCCGTCTGGAAAATCTACCACCACTTCATGATGCAAAAACACCATGTCCTGGTGATCCCAATAATCAAGTCAATCATAATAGGAATAAGTGAATGATATTTTTCATTCTTTAATTCTTTTTTATTACGTACATAAACAAGTTTAGTTAATAAGGCTAGAAAAACAATCGCTTATATAGTTAGGAAATCTCAGCAAATAACCATATAAGTCATTAATAAGGTTAGAAAATCAATGGCTTATATGGAAAGTGAGTGTTTTGCGAGGAATTCCTTGGCATGTGATACTTCAACCGTTCAACTCAACTCTTGGAAAGAAAGACATACTGAGTATGAGTTTGTAATACTTTCAAATATAGATTAACTGATTAACTAAACGATTAAATTTGATCCTTTAGTATGATTTGGAACATGTGCATCTTGAACAAGTCTCATGACCTAAACCAATTATGAACTACGTCCATAACATTAAGAAATTACCTGCTCTCCCTCCAAGTATGTCAACCGCTCCACCATTAATGAGCAAGTCACATCAAATGCAGACTTGCAGGAAACTGGAATTTCTCTTGGTTCGTGGAAGCCCAGATATCTAAAAAAAAAGACATATAACTGATAATGGGAAACTCTTTCCAGGATAGAACTTTGAGAATCAAAATACTGATTTCATACACTTTATTATGTGCTGTCAACTTACATGATAGTTTTGGCAGTGTTTGCTGCTGCATCTTTAGCTTTAACACATCCTAGTGCCATAATCTGATCTATAATGTCTTTTTCTCCAATTGAAGGTGCAGAAAATTTCTTATCATTAATTTTGAGGAGTCCAAGCAGAAAATCTACATATGTGCATTTCTCTCCGTGTTCAAGAATGGGCATGGGTTCTGTACTGAAAAAGCCCAGCTTTGATAGTGTCCCCATTATTTCACTGAAACCTGCAAAGTTAATATATAAGTTTCAATGATTAGCTAGTACAACCCAAGATCTTATAAACTCATATTCAACTTGGTTGGGATCAGTAGTGGATCACTAAATCTAGGTTAAATACACTTCAACTGAACTACACTAATAAATTGAATCAAATCAGTTATGTAGTAGTAGTGTAGTACAACCCAAGAACTTTTTAACTAATATCCAGACGTGGGTATATAATAGTAAGAGTTAAAAAGGATAAAATGCCTTGATAACGAAGGGTTCCTCGGAACACTGTGGACGCTTCTTCTCCTATTCCATATAAGTCCCCATAAATTAAAGAGTTGCGGTTAGGAAGACACTCCAATGCAAATGCTGGGAAACTCCCTATGCGAAGCTTTGAAGCGGAATCATAAAGATTTTGGCCTGCATATACCATTGCTTTAGTACACAAAAGCTATTGACCTGAGCTCTATAACTGTAAGAATGTGTTTGGATCACAGAAAATGCTAGGGAAAGAATATATTTGCCAAGAAAAATTATTTGATTTTGACCCAATATCTTTATGACCCCCCATATTTTTCTTTACTACAGGATTCCCCCCCATATTTTCCTCTAGTTTCTTTCCCTATCATTTCTCAGTTTCCAAATGGGTCCTTAGTAAACTGTTAAAGGGACTACAGATGACACACCTTCAACTTCTACAACTTCTCCTTGATATCGGTAGGTAGCTGGATTGCACCCAGCTCTTAATACCCCTTCTGGACTCCAACTGCAAAAAATGTTCAATTTATGACAGTTCAAGTTTTGTTTTATTTATTAAGAGGAATGGTGATATAGAGGAGAAGTTCCAAATTTCTGTTTGCCTGTACGGATTGGCATATTCAGAAGCAAGCTGCTTCACTACATCAAATTCAGAAAACAAAATGAAAAAGAAACCCCTTAATTTAGAGCTGGAGAAAAACCTGAACTTGTAAGCTAATGGATTGTTTGCAGCTGCTGGGGATGGAAGACCGCCACAGTAAGAAACAAATGACTTTATCTTTCCATTCCTTACATGTGATTGGTTGATAATCTTCATTGCCATCATATGATCTTAAATATAGAAAAAGGATATCTCATTAACACAGATCAAGGCCACTAATGTCAAAAAGCATATGCAACAAAAACAACATTTATCAATCCGTCACACAAAGGTAGTCCTATATTTATTCAAACATGATTTCAAAAATGTTAGTTAATATTATTGTTAAAGCATTCAATAGTCAAAGAGTCAATTGTTTTTTCTCTATATTACATATATAACCAATGTCTCATTAATAATATTACAAAGAAGGCTCCTGTGAGGTAACATCAAGATACATTCATTATATAGAAGAAGAATTAATGATATATATGTTTTTCTTTTGGGTAAATCTTAGAATGGGTTGCACCGTTGCACACACTGAACTATATCTTAATATTTAGAAACAAAAGGGACAAAGTGCATAGAAGCCAGTAACTTGAGTAGAACTCTGAATTCACATACATGAGGGGTAAATTACCTATTCCTGGGTCCAAGCCCATTTCAGCTAGAATGGTTACACCAGCACTTTTTGCATCTTCACTTAGACTTGTCATAGAATCATCAACATAGCTGCTTGTGACCAGATTTGTCTTCAGCTATATCACACCACATACAAATCATCATTACTTGAAGAAAGCAAACTGTGTAACCAGCATTGAGATTACCATCAATCTAGTTTCACTACTTTCAAAAGTCCACATCATTTGCGCACTTTCGCACACACACACATCACACCCCACCCCTCAAAGAGGACACTGAGGCATTTCTTTTGAAATATAAATTTAAATTTTGGAGCCTAAATCCCAAAGAGTAGGTAAAACAGGATTTTATGCACATAATGCCATGAATACGTGATGATAGTTTACTGAGAAAAATTACCTTAATGCAGGCATTAGCTACGGTAGAATGAGAAGTTGGAGGAAGCAAGCTGACAACAACATCTGCCTGCATACCATAAAGCTGCAGGTTCAATATGCTTTTCTTGTAATGTAAAAAAGATTTAAGTGTCATTAGTATACAAAACACAGCACCTGTGAAATGTATTTATGTAAGCTGTCATGATTTGAGATGTCAAGCTGAACTGCTTTTGCATTTGAAATATTCTCGGTAACCTGCACTTACATGTTATCAGTATCTTATTGGAAGATTAATGTACTATCTTCATAAATTAATGCAGAAAATTTCCATTTATTTTAAGAAATAATTTAGTCAATTGTACAAGGTAGAACTTCACATAGGGGAAAACATAAATATCGAAATAAGTAGAGTGTCATCAAATTACTATACAGAATTGAGGGACAATACTGACTACAGAATAAATACCTCTTCAGAATCCTTCAAGTTTAAAGAAGCAACGCTGACTTCAATACAGTTTTGCTCTTCAAAGTCATCAGAGATGCATGACTTTAGCTGTTTTTGGGCAGAAATACCACCTAATGATGCTAAAAATTCAACAGCTGGTCTACAAACCCGACCAGCACCTAAAATTAAGACCTTGTATTTGTTGTTTGCATCAGCACCCTTCTCTAAACTTGTATCAAGGACTTTCCCAACCTTTGAAGATAGCATACTGGCATTCTTATTGCGAGATCCCAGATGTTCATCTGAATTAGCTATTGAACTCAAAGAATCAAGTATTCTATCTAGAACAGCTTTATCATCTGCCCCAACCTGCCATTGAAAAAAAAGAATATAAAGATCTTTGTTGCACAATTCGAGTACCATTTGAGTTAGACAACCATGCAAATGATTGCTTTTTGCTGGATGGAATAAACATATGCTAGAGCGGTAGAGCTTAACATACTTCAACTTCTGAGTATGATAAGGATTCTGAACTCTGACCCACTTGACACTTCACCAAGTGGAATGCGCCGCCAGCCTCTTCAATGATATCCAAAGCTTCATTTATAAGAAATTGATCAAACAAATGACCACTTAGCTGGACCTGCCAATTTGCAATCTCTATCAGTGACAATTGATATTAACTAGCTTGCTAAAAATGTAATAAGTTATGATGTGTATTTCACACCCTTTGTTTAAATCATAATCTGATGTAGTAATATTCACACAAACATAAGCCAGCCATAAACAAGAGAATAACGGTGTTTTCATTTCTTGTGTCTATTAAGTTTAATTACTGTAATTAACTTAAAAATCTAATACATAATAATTAAGAGTTAGAATAGACTGACTAAGATGCCTAGAAAAAGGAATATTTTTGGTGATTGGACTTTCTAGCTAGCTGCTTAGCTATAACTCAACTCGGCAATGACTTTTAGTTTCTGAGTAATACGTAACCATCCTTTAATGTTTTGTATACGAAGTCTGAATACGAGTTTTAGAACACGAAATACAGCAAGATATAATCAAATCAAATTCTACACGAGTTTGGAGTGAACTCGCAAATCAAATTCAATACGATTGAAGTTCGCTTTATTATCTTTCTTCAACCCCTCCTCCTTACCAGAACTAGTAAAAGAGGGGTAAGGATAACGATTTGAATAAAAATAGCGAATAAATAAAAACAAAGAAACATAAATACCAATGTGGTGTATCTTTTCTTATTGGATGTCAAGTGGTCAAGTACGTCCGGCGAATCTCTGCCACAGAAAGTGGTAACCAAGTTGGTATATGTTTGAAATGAAACTCAAATAGACTACTATATAGGTCAAAGTTGCTTACATATTTTTAAAGCAGGAAGTATGAAACCTCAAAAACAGCAGAAAATAGTAACAAAACAAGGAAAATGAAGATGGTGTAGGGAGCATACTCGAGATCGGAGTTCCTCATTCTAGGAATATAGTCATACAAGGGAGTAAGATTCCCTAAATGGACTATGCAAGCTCTCCTTAAGGGTGCCGGTAATTTGTCAAGACTTTCTACAGATGCTAAGCTTCGAACAAATTGTGATAAAATGTCTCCGAAATGTTGCGAAGCCTACAACAGAAAATCCAAAACAAATGGAAAGTGAAGCAGCTTGAACGCACAGCTATGGACATAAAGATCAGGTAGTGTGTAAAGATCATATCACATTGTCTTCATACCTCTTTTGCATATTCAGTTGGAAGAATATCCACAGCTGAACATAATATACCATTTCCCTCCATATCATGATGGTATGTATTATTGAAGGGATCATATCTGGAATCAATTGTGAGGAAATGGTTGCAACCCACAGAAGGATGAAATAAAGACATACATGAATATATGATAGGCCCATTTGAATAAAATCAAAGTCTATGGTTGGGTAAAATAAAAAATAATAAGAGAAAATCTATGCACTCAGCAGAGTACATTTCTATGTAAAAAGGATTGGATTTAATTCTTTATTGGCCTGACAGATAAAAAAGCATACACATAAAATGGTTTTGATGTTTTGTGTATAATAGATACCAAATTATACCTGCAGAAAGGTGAATCAATAGATGTGGTTTGCTTGATGAACTCAATTGAGCCTTCTATATCACAACTTATATCACAAATTCCAACCAGTTGAGACCCATTCCTCATCAAATCTTGACACTGCTGGGTGGTTATCAACCGCGGGTATCTTCTCTCCCAGTACATGCAATTTACTGGAAGAAAGTTTTCAAAACTTAGGCGCTTGAAGTAAGCATCAGGTACAATAGAATATTTTCATTTTGAAATAAAAACTAAAATTACAAAAAAGTGGAAACACTGCAATTTGACTTTGATGCATTCAGTTTACATAGTATGTGTTTATTGTTTAAAAAACACGGATCAACAACTGATCAGGCCTCAGAAGTGAGATGAAGAGATCATTATCCCCACATCTTGATCTTCTTAGGTTCATATAATTGGGAAAAGTTGTCTTATGCTAAACTGCAGTTGCATCGTTATTTTTAATACTCCATCCGTCCCTTTTTATTTAGCCATCTTTGACCTTTCTAGTCAATGATGTTAAATTTTGACCGATAGTATATTTATATATGAAAGTATTTATAATATGAAAACAATATGAAAATGTTCTTCGTTAAAAAATAAAAATACAAGGTATAAAATTTATAACTTTCTCAAATATATATTAGTTTAAATGATTTGGCAAAAGTTTACCACCATTGACTATAAAAGTCAATGATGGCTAATTTAAAAGGGACAGAGGTAATAATAGTTAAGATCTGAAGCATTTTTTGGAAACTCACACGCACAGTAGGATCTAAAGTGATTCCCCACTTTCCCTCCAAAGTAACTCAAACCCACAACCTATTTAATGTAGGTGGAGAGATGCTCTACTTGTGCGAGGCCTCCTTTGTACATCTAATCTATTTTAAGCTAGAATATCAGGCGTTGTAAAGCGTGTGACTCATTGGTAGAGAAAATGTAGAGTACTTAAAGTATAACATTTCACTTGAGAACATAGTGACAATTAAGAAATATAAACTCAGTAAAAGTTTAAGCTGGAGGGTGCTTCCCTTTCCATACGGCTCATCACTGACCTATAACAGATGCATAAGGGGCTATTTTTTCGTGAAAAACAGGCTTGTAGTTCTCTGGGTGTGCATAGTAGTCAACCTGCAAGAAAATCAGATTGCGGCTAAGTTAACCTCAAGACAAATTGGATTTGAAAATATAATATTCAGTTACTGAAATGATACAAATGTTTAAATCATAGTTCAAAACTACAGCACTAAATTTCCTAATAACTTGTTCACATAATGAATATCAAATTGCACAATTCCTAATATAAAGAAGCTAAATGCTGTAAACGAAGAATATAAAAAACCAGCACAGTTATTGTGGTAATCACATAAGGAGCCACTAAAGCTAGTTCACATACCTTATCAAATGATTTTGAAGGTTCCTTATGTTCCACCATATCTTGACTAGTCACAACACAACCATACACTTGAAAGACCCTCTTTGATGATTGTCTCTTTGGAGTGAGATCCTTGGCCTATGAAATGAGAATTCCTTTTGTAAATGTTGAGATCTGGTATAAGAAGAAATACATCCCCTTCCCATCTCTACTAAGTGTTCTGTTCAGTAGGGTGTTTATAAATGTGGAGAAGGAAAAGTAAAAAAGACATGGAAAAATTCAAGAAATCAATCAATTATACAGTCAACCATTTTCTCAATGTGACAGTAATTCCCTTTTTTAAAAGATTTTGTATCTACTACACAAACTTCTATTAAAAAAAAGCCTAGCCTAGCCTAGTCCAAGTAGAGAACGATGACATCTTAGGTAATACCTGAGAGCTAAATCTCAGCTACATAACACTCTGCAGCATATATTACATGTTCTTGGGGTACAGACTGCTATAATGGAAGACTTTGGTCATCCATCCAAGAGCAGGAATAACAAATTGCCACTACTAGAGATGTTGTAGCTCAAGTTGGTAACATGAAGGCTGGCTTCAAAATATTGTTTAAAAAACCAGTACTGTGGAATTAATCAAATGCAAATTTCTAGAAGCAGCATGCCAGGATTTGTAGTATCGTATAGAACCAAGTTAAAATTACCCGGCCAACTAGTTCTGGAAGTTTGCTTGCATCCACAAATGTGTGAGGAAGGAGCTTAAAGATTTCTTGTGCACCGTGAGAAACTACAGAAAAAAATCAATAATTACTCAGACGTGATGAAAACCAATTTTAATGGCTTAGAATAAAGTAACGATGGATTGTGGAATTCCATAAGACTCAAATGTACCATTTCCTGAGCCAGTGAAAACAAAAACAAGAGGACAGATTCCTGAAGGAAGTCCAGTGGTGGCTATCTCTTCACCCACAGATATTACTGCAGCTTTGGCAGCAGCCAATGAGGAGTACATGTAAGATGATCCCAGTGAAAGAAAAGGGGTTGAATACCCAAGGTTAAGATACCCTGAAAGAGAATAGCCATTCAGAAAGAGCAGTCTATACTTCTCTTGCACAATAACTAAAGGAAGTGACACTCACACTGTCCCAGCCCACGTAAAAAATCAACCATTCCAGCTCTACCAGCAAACTTTCCAAATGCAAGTAGCCTCTTTCCATGATCTCCAACTATAAGTTCATAATCAAACAGTGATGCCTTCGATGCTAAGATCTAAAATCAAGAGCAAAGCTTTTACTGTTCATCCGACCCCCCCCCCCCCAACCATCTTCATCCTTCCATGACAAATCAATCAAGGATGAAAACATTACCTTATCTAACAAGGGCATATTTTCCTTCTGCGCCTTATGGGTATGGGAGAAAAACGCATAAGCCCTGTCAGGAAGAATCATATCAACCTAGAGCAAAACTAACATTGTATTAGCAATAAGATCATCAATCATTCAATCAACCATTCTTGACATCAAGAAACAATTTCTTTTAGCAAAAAGATACTACCTTGGGTTGTTTGATTCCCAATATGAGACCACACTCTGACAAGTCATCGGATACCTCACAACCCACATCCTCGTACAGAGCATCATGGTGAATACGCTTGGTGGATGGCTGCACAATGATCCGCGCCACTCCAGTCTTGCCCTTTCCACCGTGCAACAACCGAGCACAGTGTGAAGGGGTCAGGGGAACCCTTCTTTCCCACTTGTTTGTAGACTCAGAGAGGATCCCGACAACCCCATTGCCGAGCATTGTTAGTGAGATTATTGGGAAAGTTTCAGAGAAGAAAAAAAGAAGGAAAGAAAACGATGAGAGGAAACAGAACCGGACGTAATCTGGTAGCAGTGATGCAAACGTGAATCGCCGGCCACTGTGAAAACAATCGAGATGATGATTCACATTAAAGAATGGCGGATAAGATCATAAGAGCGTGGCAAATCTTTGTCTTTTTCTCGGCTGCGGCATGAATGTCAATTTTAAGAAGCACGTCACATGCCGGTTACGTAACCAACGTAGGCACCAGATGCGAATCAAATTGAGTGGGAATTGAGACCCAACTTTTTTATGTCTTGTACGATGATGCTATCATTTTAGTATAGTATATTTGTTGTATTTGTTATTTAGTCTCTTGTAAATTGTCACAAAAAAATTAGTCTCTTTTAAAATATCCCCCATTTTTTCAATCGCAATATATTGAATTTTACAATATTTATGAGCTCTACTTTGACTACATTTTACACTATTATTTTATGAAAATTAATTTTATTAAAAAAAATCAATTCATCTCATTTCAAAGTTTCAAAATCTGTTTTTTTTACAGTAAAAAATGTGTGTTATCAAATGTGAAATGTTGACCGTGGAAACTAAAATAGAACGGAGGAAGTACTACGTATTAGAAATGCCGAAGAAACAAATTTTTTGTAAACATGATGACTAATAATTCCATTTCTATCCCTAATTTAATTAATTATTAAATTAACCTAATCAATTGCCCCCTAGTTCCTTTGCATAATCTAGTGGCAACAATGCTAAAGTCCTATGATGCTCTTTTGATCCAATTACAAATAAAAAAGTCATATTTAAGGTATTTAAAACTAGTAGGTTCTATTTTTGAAAAACCTACGTATTATGTTTTAGGAAGTGCTTGTGTTTGCTTCTACTTCAAAAAAGTGATGTTTTTAAGTGATTTTAAAGAAAGTGCATAGTAAAAGTAGGTAGTGTTTGGTAAGAGAAGTGATTAAAGCGGAGAAGTTAAAGTTGGAGTGTTTGATAAAAAAGTGATTGTTAGCCGTATTATTATGTTAAACTACTAAAATGTCCCTGCATAAACAACGAGCATCTCTCCCACTCTAAGAAAGCCGACATGGACATTCGAAGCAGGGGTATGGGTTTCCATGTCTTCATCTCTGCTGCAATTGTTGATGCAACTGAAATTCCGGGTAGTATGTGTGTACCCATGCTACCTGGAACTTGATTCTGGAGTCCTCGGCAAAATCTCCAAAGCTAAGCTCAAATTGAAGAAGCGCGAATAGAATTCAAAAACCCTAATCCTCCACTATCACTTATTCACTCGAATTGAAGTATCATGCTCTTCTGAATTAATATAATGTTTTTCTAAAAAATATATATATAAATACAATGTTATATACGGAGTGTGTGTGTGTTAAGGAAGAACAACGTAGGGAGCAGGGAAGTTAGAACGCAGAGAGGTATTCAGAGAGATGAGGGTATTTTTGGTTTAAACGACATAAATGAATCAATATAACTATCCTTAAAGTTTGAACTAATTACAAAAAAAAAAAACAAGAAGCAGTTAGAAGCACCCCTACACCAACTTTTAGCTTTTAGATTTAAAGTGCTTAATTTAAGTAGAAGTAAGAATTTGAAAACACTACTTTCAGCTTTTTTTAAGCAAAAAGCTCAAAAGTGCTTTTTCAAAGCTCTTGCAAACACTGCTTTAGTCCTATTTGGGGACTTCTCTTATTGTTTAAAGAACTAGACCATGCATAATGAAATGAGAGATTTGCCCAAACTAAGGGTATATTTGGCACAACCAAATGAAAATATACTTGATAACTATTAGTTTTTAGTGACTGAAAATATTTTAAAAGAAAACTATAGTAGTTGTTTGGTAAAAGGCTGATATACGAGTTGTTGAGACTAATTAATGTTAAAAGTTATATATATAGACTTTTCTCAAATGTTACCCACTGTAGCATTTTAAAAAAGATCTTTTACTTTTAAAAAAAACTCTTGAAAATTAACATGTCAAACATTCAATTAGAAGCTTTCAAAGACTTTTTAAATAGTACAAAAGCCAGAAGATATGAACTTATGTCTACCAAACATTCACTAAAACTAAAATATAATCTTTTTTTCCTTTATCAAAATAGGATTATATGTTTGATTTTTCCTAAATAAGACTAATCAATCCATTTATGCCTCTGATTAATTAATTAACCTAATTAATTGTCCCATAGTACGCTTGCATAACCAAATCCGTATGTTGGTGGCGGCAAGTGACTCCAGCAGCGGCGACGTCGGCCTCCAATGCCGGCAACAGCTATGGCGGCCTCCATCGCCGGCAACGGCGGCGGCAGAGAAGGAATTTTTGGCACATTGCCAAATAATTTATGGAAAATTTTCCGGTGCGGGTATTTTGGTACAATTATAAATAAAAGTCATATATAAGATATTTTAAATTATTTGTTCCGATTTTGGAAATAAATTATTTTTTAATACTATTATTAAGATAAATCTACCTAATTTAATACTCGATACAAGAACTAATAAGAGAAAAACGATTTTATAGAAATGAGCGTGCACATTTCTATAGTTAGATAGGAGTTTATTTATAGTTATTTCTTTTTTAGATATACAAACTTTGGTATTTTTGCATCCAATTAAATATATTGTATCTCATGTTTGCATTAATGTTGTAAATTATTGCATCACTCGTCATTATTACTGCACTTTTTCTATGCATTCAGTGCCTATGTATAACATTATCTATTGACATGTTCACTATAAATGTAAATAAAAACAGATATATGAGAAAGGACTATCTTATCGTCATCCACTCTGTACCTAAATAAAAATCTTCTTACAACTGAGTCACCTCTAATTTTTATGATGTACCAGTATATCACATTTAAAGGCTATAAAAAACTTCTAGACTATTTCAAAATTGTAATTAACTGAGAAAATTATCTTAAATATGACTAAAACTCTTTCACTTTTCCAATATATGACCTCATTATATTTAATAAATGAATTATATTGTCTAAAATGCCCTCAATATATTTTTATTAAATTAATCCTAATTGACAGTCTTGAATAAAAACTCAGCTTCACCCGCTCAGATAACTTTCCGGTCGCTTATAAGGGCCCTTGAGGATGAGGTGTCATTTCTTTTATTGAAGAATAGTTATTGACTTAGTGTTATACCTATCTTGTGCATATTGTACAATAATATTTCACATTGTTTTATTGTATGTATCCCGTTAAATGTGTTTGTGTTTTATCGATAGGCTAAAGGGTCAAATAGGTACATGAACTAACTTAAAGTGTTCAATTAGCCCCCTTATATAGGAGGTTCTGCCTGGCCGTCGCCAATTGGGGAGGTTCCTGGTGGAATTTTTTGATGAAATTTTTTGAGCTTTTCTTTCATTAAGTCTAGTTTATCCATACCAAATTTCAGCTAAAAATTCAACTGACTGGGAAGGCAGTCAAATGATTTTTTGAAGATAACTGTGCAGTTAAACAACACAGTACATTTTGGAAAATTATTTGACTACTTTCTCGATTTAATTTTTAGCTGAAATTTGATATGGGTAAACTAGACTTAATGAAGAAGATGCTCAAAAAATTTCATAAAAAACTTCAACCGGGAACCGCCCCAATTGGCGACGGCCGGGCAGAACCTCCTATATAAGGGGCTAATTGAACACTTTAAGTTAGTTCATGTACCTATTTGACCCTTTAGCCTTATCGATATAATGACCTTTTAATAATAATATGTAGTACTACTATAACTTAAAGTATGGTAATATCAAAGTAAGCTGATTGAATCAACTGATTCTGTTGAAGTTCTGGTAGAAGTGACTGATTCTGCTAATTTATGTAAAAATTATATTTGAAATATACTACATGCGCCAAAATAATTGTCTTGTTTTCCTTTTCGAGATGTCCCAAAATAAAATAATTGTCTTGTTTCATTTTTTGGCAACAATATGTGGTTCATAATGTCAATTTACCTTTTACTATTCAAATCTCAATCAGAACTTTTACCATTTCAACCACTACCACTCTCTTGAAATTTGTGCTTAAGCAAACAAGACATTTTTTGGGACAGAAGGAGTATTTCATTAATATAATAAAGAAAAAATTATACGGAGTATGAAAATAATTAAAATGATCATCTACATTAACTTCAGCTAATACAGTCAGAAAATTAACTCCAATTTTACATTTTCTTATTATTACATAATTCAACAGCAGAATAAAAAATTAAATGTTTGTTGAAACATGATCACCAAATAGACTCTTAATAATATGGGAGTGTATGACTTCTGGAACCAAATTTCAGAATTGACTTGTTGGAATATTGGAAAATCTGCACGTGATTTTTGCTTACATTGCATATATACGAGGTTGAAGTTATTGTAACGTGGTTGAATCAATGTGGTTGAATCATGCTCACAATAATTCCGAACGTGCGCAATAACAAAGAACAAATTGTGCAACATTGATGCAATGATTTGAAGTTAGATGTGCCTTGCTATGTAGAATATATACTTCATTGTGCCTTGCGATCTAGAAAATGAGCATCATTGGAGTTTTTGCATCTTTAGCGTGCTGCAACAATCCATCTTTAATTGTTACGGATAAAATATACATGGCCTTCCCCGCTTTTATCTTTCATTTTCTTAATGACAATGTGGTGTCATTACTATGTCCTACAAATCTTTTCCAAGCAAATAAAATTGCACACAAACACTTCAAGCGTTGTAGTTGGGGTTGTTAAGTTTTTCACCGCAACTTACCGAATTTGAGATATTCATAGTGACTTGAATATATGACAATCAATATGCATAGCAAGTTTAGTCCAAGACCAGTCAGCTTCACAATCCCAGATTGTGCACTAATAGTACCTCTGTGTTGCCTTAACTCTTCACGGACAATAGCCCCCGATCACCAGCTCTGATACTACTTGTTGAGATTTGGTGGAATAAAAGGGAACTTTAGTAATATAAAATATTGAGTACAAAGATTATGAGTCTCTCTTTCTCTCACTCTTGAGAAAAAAAAGGAATATTTTTAGAACTGAGCTCCTACATTAATTAGATTCTAGAATGTTTCTAGCCAACTTTAATTATTACTTAATTCTAGGGAATTCTTCACATCCTATGTAGAGTACTTAATAAAGAAGGTTATAGAAGATTTTAGAGAGTCGTCGACTTTTCAACATCGGATAGGCTGCAAGTTCTGAACCAAAGGTTCTAGGTAGCGGTTCAGTTCTTTGGATTTTGAGAAATTGGAAAATAAAAATTTTATTTTCAAAAAATTAGTAGTAGTAGTATACTAGTAGTGTAACTATTAAAATAATAATAGTAATGATACTAACAAGAGAGAATTCCCTAAATATGAGTAAAAACGTTTTGAAATTTCAAAATAGGAGTATCATGTTTTTAAACATGACATTTTTTTTCAAACTTGGCTTATTACTCCTATTTAGGGAATAAAAAACATGATACTCCTATTTTGTAATTTCAAAACATTTTTACTCCTATTTAGGACAATTTCTGTACTAACAATAATAATATCAAGATATAGTAGTAGTAGTAGACTAGTAGTGATAGTTATTTATTTAATATGAAAATAGTACTCCACAAATAATAATTTTTAGGTATAACCTTTTACACACTACTAGTTATAATACCTTTTTATTACAAATTATAGTAATAAGTATACATAGTTTACTAATTACTAAATTATTTTAATTATTAACTACTATCTAATTATTATACTTCATCATAGCAATTGTAACTATTAGTTATACTAACAATTTTTGGGAATCATTTTATTTGAATAATCTTATTACATTATACGTACTCTATTTTAAACAATACTAAACTTTTAAATTTAAAGAATAAAAATGTATGATTATTATACTATTAATATTTTAATGAATAAAAATAATAATATAAAAAAGAGTAGAAAATGAAAATTAAAACCAGAAAATCGAATCAGAGCCGAAACCGCCAATTCAGGACCGGACTAGAACCGCTGCTATGCACTTCCGGTTCCGGTTTCATAATTTTCGGAACTGCGAATTATCGGTTCGGTTGCGGTTCGAACCGCATACAAGTCTACCTCCACCCGGCTTCCAAACATAGAGTACGAAAAATTCACAAATTGCTAAGTTCTCGTACTTAATTTCACCAAAACCATTTTCACTCTGAAATTAGTAGCTTGTATTTTCGTTTAGACAGCTTGTAAATAGGAAAAAAGTGAAGATCGTACAGTCCTATAGCTTGGTGGTTTATAATTTAGCAAGGGAAAGAACATAAATGAAAAACAACGGTTGAAAAGGAACATATTCCATCTCAAACAGGGATTACCCCTTCCCTTCAACAGAAAACAGTTTGAATTGGGCTGTTAGGCTGGTAATCCTGAAACTTCTCTAATCCATGCCATTTTTTTTGTTTCCCTCTCATAGTTTTGAGAAATTTAATCATGCCTCACTAATCCACTCAACCCGAACGTTAATTAAGCGAACTAATGAACCACGAATAAAAACAGAGCCAGAAAATCTCTGAGCTTTCAAGTCTCTTCTGCCTTGGATTGGGTTGAATCCAGGGCAGAGTTGTGCTCTGCCTCCGCCTCTAACTAATTAATCAAGCATTCAAACAAAATTAATTAAAAGAGAATGGCGTTTCAAGATTTTGACCTGATTTCCGAGCGGCGGAAGAAGGAAAAGCAGGCCAAGATGCGGCGGAAAATCATCACCGCCGTCGTTCTGGTGGTCATCATTTTCCTCGCCGCCGCCGCGGCATTTGCATACTTTTTTGTGCTTAAGGCTCCCCACGAGGAAGAAAAGGGGAAGCATTCCACTAAGACAAACAAGTCACACAAGGCAAAATCTTCCCCGCATCCCCCACCGCCGTCTCCTCCCAAATCCGAGGAGAGGGTGGAGCAGGGCGAGCCCCCCGCCGCCAAATCGAAGGCTGTCGCTGAGCAAGCCGTGTCGGAAGCCCCGTCTGAAACACCGTCCGGAGTGCCTTCTGTATCACCATCTGAATCCCCGTCCGAATTACCTGCCATCGGACAGGCTCAGAAGGTGATAACGACAATATGTGCCGGCACGGATTACAATGCCACCTGCCAGGACAGCCTCGGGAGGGCGGTGAAGGAGAACGCCTCCGCAGCTCACAACCCTAAGGAGCTTCTTAGGGCTTCCATGGCGATCGCCGTTGAGGAAATCGACAAGGCGATCAAACAAGCCGGAGATCTCAAACTCGACACGCCACAGAAGAAAGCGGCATTCGACGATTGCAAGGTGCTCCTCGCCGACGCCATGGATGAATTGAACAGCTCAATGTCCGGCGTAGGTGGCCAGGATCTGGAAAATCTGTCATCCAGAACCCCTGATTTGAACAACTGGCTGAGCGCCGTGATTACCTATCAGGACAATTGCATCGACGGCTTCCCCGACGGAGAAGAGAAAACTGCGATCCAGAACTCCCTCAAAGTCGCCGGGGAGATTTCCAGCAACGCTCTCGCCATCGTCTCTCAGCTCTCATCCGTGCTTTCGAGCTTCAAAATCCCCGATTTCGACCTTGGTGGGCGGCATCTCCTCGCTGAGGACGGTGAGGAGTTCCCGGAATGGATGGATCACGAGGAACGCAGGATGCTGAAGGTTGAAGCCCCCAAACAGCCCGCCAATGCCACCGTTGCCAAGGATGGCAGTGGAAATTTCACAACCATTAATGCAGCTTTAGCTGCCATTCCTGAGAAGTACGAAGGGCGGTAAGAATTTCAAACATAACGGCTAGCCACTCACTAAAAGTAATTGCATAATGCCACTCCAAATATGATTAATATAAATGGCGGCCCTAAAAGAATTACTATTCAGACATTTCGCCCAAAACTGAACATTTCTCGAATAAGTTACTATGATTGATAAATATGTTATTGAGCCCGAAATCTAGTTCACTTTGAAAATTGAAATTGTCTTGAATAAGAGTAAAAATAACGTGAAAATACAAAATACGAATACTCTATTTTTCTCCTATGTAAGATTAATTGTTATGTTCGGAAAATAAAACCATTGTTATACGGAGTAAAAATAAAACCATTGTTGAAATTGTCTTGAATAAGAGTAAAAATAATGTGAAATTCTGATAGTTTGATTTCACATTGGGAACAGTTAGAGATATTGTCCGAAATAGGACTAAACAAGTTTGCAAATTCCAAAATAGGACTTCTATGTTTTTATTCTCAAAATAGGACTTATTATTGTCATATTTTGGCAGTACCAGACTTCAAACATGGCAATATTTTTCAAACTTGGCAGTAATTAGTCCTATTTTGGGAATAAAAACATGGCAGTCCTATTTTGGAATTTTCAAACTTTTTTAGTCCTATTTCGGGAACTTTCCCGAACAATTGCCCATATTTTGGAATATTTCTCGTAAGTTAATTACTTTTACTTTGGAATATTTCTCATAAGCTAATGCACTTTGACACTCTGAGAAGATGGATGAATGCAATAAATTAATGTAAATCATTTTCAGTTTCATGCAGTGGGTTTTCTAATTTGTGTTCAAAAGTTTATTACGGTTGGAAATAGGGCTTAAACTTGTGTATGAAATGCAGGTATGTAATTTTTGTGAAGGAAGGAATATATGAAGAAAATGTAGTGGTCACTAAGAAAATGGTGAACCTGACAATATATGGAGTTGGGTCTAAGAAAACTATCGTTACAGGGAGCAAAAATTACGTGGATGGAGTGTCAACATATCAAACAGCAACATTTGGTACGTGCAATAACAAATGTTCATTTAGATATGTTATTGAACATAAATTAACTAGTGTTAATATTGGTTTTGGTATCCATCGTTGAATGTTTTCAGTTTAATCAGAGTATTTTTTTTTTTGAAGAATTAATCGGAGTATTTTTGAAGAGACTCTTCCTACATTTCTTCTTTTCAAATACTCTTCTGTCTCATTAAAATTGTCACACTTTTCCTTTTTAGTCTATTTCATTTGAATTGTCTCATTTGGTAAATTTTGTATAATTATAAATCATTCTTAGTTTATTCATATTTTATCAATACAATATCAATCACATAAACTCATTTTTTCTTAATAATTGCATCACCTCTCATATCCCAATATTAATGGAACGGAGATAGTACTAATAACCGTGACAAAAAAATCTTATTCATGTGGGAAAAAAAACTTGATTTGCAAATATTTTGTATTTTAGTGCGATTTGAATTGAATTGCAATTTACATATTCTGGTTGATTGATATAAAATTAAATTATATCTATAAATATTTAATTCAGTTTTAATAGCAAAATTTAGAAAACACATTGACAGTCTTATAGAGTGTCAATTTGAGTTTGCACTTCAGTTTATTGTCCAAATTGGACTTTGCATCCCGTTTTTAAAAACTTTTGTATTTGCACCCCAACCTCATATGAAAAGACAAAAATGTTCATCCATTAACAAGTCTGATGGCCTTCAACATATTCTTGATTGAGAGACATGTTTGTCTTTTTATAAAGAGTTGGGGTGCAAATACAAAAGTTTTTAAAAACGGGGTGTAAAATAAAATTTGAACAATAAAATGGAGTGCAAAGTCAAAAATGCAAATTAGAACTTTATTCTCCTAACAATAATAACTTCGTTTTGATTAATTGAATTGTACGTGTAGCTGTGATGGGAGATGGATTCTTGGGCCAATCAATAGGCTTCCGGAACACGGCGGGGCCGGAGAAGCACCAAGCGGTGGCGCTCAGAGTCCAAGCTGACCGGGCAATTTTCCTCAGCTGCCGCATGGAGGCGTACCAAGACACCCTCTACGTCCAAGCCCACCGCCAATTCTACCGCGGCTGCTACATCACCGGCACGGTGGACTTCATCTTCGGCAACGCCGCCGCCGTCTTCCAGAACTGCATGATCTACGCGCGGAAGCCGATGGAGAACCAGCAGAACATCGTGACGGCGCAGGGGAGGACCGACAAGCGGCAGACCACCGGAATCGTTCTCCAGAACTGCAAGATTCTGGCCGACAACACCCTCGAGCCGGAGAAGGCGAAGACCAAGAGCTATCTGGGCCGCCCATGGAAGGAGTATTCAAGGACGGTGGTAATGGAGTCGGAAATAGGCGACTTCATCGACCCGGAAGGGTGGATGCCGTGGAGCGGCGACTTTGCTCTGGCGACGCTGTATTACGCCGAGTACGGAAACTCCGGCAAGGGGGCGGCGGTTACTTCCAGAGTGAAGTGGGAAGGTTATAAAGGCGAGATAAAGAAGGAGGAAGCCATGGAATATACCATTGGGCCATTCTTGCAAGGGGAAACTTGGCTTAAGGCCGCCGAATGTCCGGCCCGTTTTGGCCTCTCTGACTAATCCGATCATACTCTGTTTTTTTTTTAATTGCAGTAATTTGCCTATACTAGGAGATTATAGAATGCATATACTTAACTTAAAAAATTGTCATGGCTAATTTTTTCTTGTAATTTATAAATCTGTAATTATCCATGTTTAATCATATACGAAGTATATAGCAGAGTACTAAAAAGGGAACGAAGAAGAAGAGAGAAAAAACAATTGTTTGAAATTCTAAACCCAATTGAATCTGCTCTTGTACTGTGTATAAATATATGGAGTAACAATATTTGTTATTTATTGTATATTTATTGTATATATATACTCAAGGCCTATACGGCTATACAATGCATTTCATTTTAATGCTGTCTTGCTAAAAAAGAAATATTATTGTGAGGAAATGCATGTAGTTTCATTATCAGATAGCTCTATAGAGTCATAGACAGATAGAGAGCCCGTTTCGTAATATTAAAATTGGCTGTATTGGCTGATTCTGCTTAAATTTATGAAGTTCTGTCTGAAGTGGTTGTATTGGCTGATTCATGAAAAAATTATATTTAAAATATTTTTTATTAATAAATAAAATAAAAAATTATATGAAAAAATAGCTAAAATGAACTTCTACAATAACTTCAGCCAATACAGTCAGAAAAGTAACTACAGCCTTACTTTTTCTGCTTATTACACAATTTAGCGTGCGAAATAAAAAAGGGAAATTTACCGGGATATGATTAAAACTTAATAAGTTTCTCAATCTATGACCTAACTAGTTTTTATACCTTTATATGACCGAAAATCCAAAAACAAATAGAAAAATTGTTTATATTTAAATGTTGAATGACAAAAATACCCTTATTTAAAATATGTGCATTTTGCACTAATTTTGTCCAATTAAAATTACTGCACTTTATATTGTATTCACTCCACGACATTGATCCACTACATTACTGCGCATTCGGCAATCAATGCGCTTCCGCCAAAATTTATTCTCTTCTAATTCACTTTAGGAAATTATTATTATTTATATTTTTTATTTTTTATTTTTTTAGATTTAGTAGTTTTATTATTTTACGTCTGATTAAGTATATTGTGTTTCACGGTGAAATTACTGCTTTGTGTTATTGCACTATCGACCATAATCACTGCGCAACAAACTTCCTACATGCATTTATTCACTCCTATGTACAACATATATATAGTTGTATTCAGTGTCATATTTAAAACTTATTGTCATGTCCACTGACAATGTCCAATGCCCATATTTAACGGTCCACAAACCCTAAAATATACTATGATGTTCACTGCCCATCTTCACTGCGCATACTTAATGCCATAGATCGTAATTTTAGAACTCCTAATTTTTTAAAAATAAAAATGAGATGGCCAAAGGCCCAAAGCAATTAGCCAATCTAGAGCAGTGGGCCATCTTCACGTAACAAAGAGTACAAACCCTTTTCACCGAATTAACCTACGTCCAATTGCCTGCGCCGCACTCCCAACTCCCTGCTACGTAGGCCTGTCAATGGGTCGGGTCCGGGCCGGAATGTAGTGTACCGGACCCGGACCCGCTAAGTGAATAAGGGACCCAGACCCGGACCCGTTTACCCGCCGGGTCTGAAATTTTGGACCCGAACCCGGACCCAACGGGTCTCGGGTCTGGGTCGGGTAGACCCGCTAAAAATAAAACAGAATCTATATATGAAACGTAGAGTAATTGCACAAACTAGCTAAGCTTAATCATCATTAACAATCAACAAAATTCAAAAGCAGATCATATTCTTGCTTTTCAAAAGACAAAACTCATAGTTCACATAGAAATCCAATGGTTTTATCCAAACATAGTGAAAGTTTTTGATAATAAAATAAGCAAAACTCAAAACAATATCCTAAGCTTCAAGCTTGCATCTTTCTGGAGGACCATCTCAAAATCAGCCATGAATATGTTAGATATTAGGATTTAGGTCACTGGCTTTGCCTACCGACTTACCGAGCCCATAAAGTCCATAAGGGTTAGTTTGAGTATAATATTGATTATTGAGCACTAGTTTTTAAAAGTTTTTGTAAATACTAAGCCCACTACCGTAAGGGTATTACTGTATTAGTTTGACTATGGATACTGGTCACTTATTTTAGGCTTTTAGCTACGTATGTATTACGGAAATATAAAGTCATGTATTACTATATTAGGAGTAGGCAGTATATTGTACGAAGTATATATTAATAATTCTAAACGGGTACGGGTCCTTAACGGGTCGGACTCATGTGTACCATACCCAACCCATTTATAAAAAATACTAACGGGTCCGGGTTCGGGTCCGGGTAAACGGAATAAAATATAGACCCATACCCGTTAAAAAAACTCGGGTCTGGGTCGGGTCCGGGTCTAGACCCGGCCCATTGACAGGCCTACTGCTACGTTTTCGGACACGTAATCCATCGACAGATCTAGGAGAAGATGGCGGGCGGCTGAGCGGCGGTGCCCATGGATCGGGAAAGCGGTTGCCTCTAACGTCGGTTTGGTCGGTGGATGCGATGAGAAGACGTGGGGCTAGGGGTGACCGGTCAACCAAACGATTGGTTGTACTGGTGGCCGTCGATCGGGCTCTTGGACAGCGGCAGACATTACGCGGGTCGGCGCCTTGGCACCCAGATCCTGCGGACATCTACCTCAGCAAGCCACATTGCTTCTGCCTCGGCAACTTGGCTCCCAGGCCGGAGTTCTGTTGAAGGCGGCGGGGCTAGACGGTGGGCGACGGCGCTGGATGGTGGGCGGTGGCTAGATGGCAGGAGAAGGTTGAATGGTGGGATGGCCGCACGAGTAGTCCTTGGGGAGGTAACCGGAGGTTGTATTTAGGGTCAAAAGGAATAGGGGTTAGGGTTTTATAGGTATAAATAAGGTAAATGGTATATTTGTCCATAGAAATTATTTATTATTTATTTTTAATATTATTTTGGCTGATAAATTTGATAAACCGAAAAGGGGGTCACCAAATGGCTCACAGCCAGAGTTTACTTTTTGCACAATTGGGTCAATGGGTTTAGAGCTAATATGTGTAATACCTAGGGCCATCAACGTACACTTATGGCCCGTACACAGCTACTAGAATAATATGCCCGTACACAGCTTATAGACCTTTGGTATTACACATTTTTTTGAGTAATGCTATGTGTACACAGCATTGTACACACCACTACACATCATAAAAAGCCCACCCCTCCCTTTTCTAACTCATTTAACCCCTGCCCTCTCCTCTCTCCTCCATCCCAAAAAAAATACCAGCCCACTCTTTTCTCTTCCCCCCAAAGAAACGGATTCCATCTCTTAACCCCCTTCCCCGTCAGAAGACTTCAGGCGAGCCACTCCATCGCCGCCCCTCTCCATCGAAGTTCATCGGTAGTTCCACCCTCCCGTCCGGTGTGTGCGCAAAGTCCAGAAGTCAGTCGTCGGCCCAATTTTCTTCTCCTTTGAGTCGCCATTCTTCACGCTGAAGTTGTTGGGTTTTGCCTCCGCCACCACTTCACTCTTTACTGGAAATGGTTCGCACTTCATTGACGGAATTGGCTCAAAGGTAATTGTTTTTTAACCTTGTTTTCAGTTTATTTTGGAGTGAATTTTTGTTTGGAGTGAAACTATATTTTCTCTAGTGTGATTTTTTAGTGTGTGTTCTTACATGTTTGTGGTTTTTCAGATGTCTGTGTAGTGTGTTGTTAAATGTTTTGTGATTTTAAGATGTCTGTGTAGTTAGTTCTTATATGTTTGTGCATATTAGAGTTGTCTGCATGCATTTATTTATGTTTGCTATTGTGCATTTTAGGCCTGTCTTTATTGCATCTGTTCAGATGTGTGTATGACCAAGAATTAGTCAGTTGTGTGGCGTTGTTCACTTGTCTGTGTGGCATTGTTCAGTTGTCTGTGTGGCATTTTGAGCTGTCTGAGTTTGAGAGAGTTGTCTGTTTCCTCTTATATGTGTCTCTATTTTATGGTGTTACTGAGATGTCTGTCTAGTGTGTGTCTTATTTTCCTGAGATGTCTGTGTAGTTTGTTATATATGTTTGTGCTTCTTTTCACTTGTATATATGGTGTTACTGAGATGTCTGTGTAGTGTGTGTCTTATTTTCCTGAGATGTCTGTGTAGTTTGTTATATATGTTTGTGGTTCTTTTCACTTGTCTATATGGTGTTACCGAGATGTCTGTCTAGTGTGTGTCTTATTTTCCTGAGATGTCTGTGTAGTTTGTTATATATGTCTGTGCTTCTTTTCACTTGTCTATATGGTGTTACTGAGATGTCTGTGTAGTGTGTATCTTATTTTCCTGAGATGTCTGTCTAGTTTGTAATATACGTTTGTGGTTTGTGTTAGTTGTGTATATGGTATTCCAGAGATGTCTGTAACAGATATTGTATGTGTTTTTGGTAGGGGGAGGTGGAATGATGGTGCTCAGTTTTGCGGAGCACCTTATGTTGGAGCTCCCGTTCATACCCGGTTGCGAGTACGAGAACATGGCGAAGAAGAGGTGTGAATTCGCCAATCGACTGTGGAACTTGAAGAATGATTTACAATGAAGAATTATGTCCAAGGGTGTAGATTTATTTGTATATGTAATAATATAAATACATTGGTGCTTACCTTTTTCTTTTGGCATACACTGGTGCTTACATGAAGTATATTGTGCTTACATGAAGTTTATACATAGACTAATGAATATGTATACACAGACTAATTTATATAAATACAGACATTATTCATCAATACTATACAGACAAACTCCATAAACTTTAAACCAAAATCAAACAACTTACAAATAACAATTGAATATAATAATATTAAATACAGACATTATAAAATGTAATACACACAAAGTACTTGATAACCAATTACTGGAACAAATGAATAAAAGATTATGAAATGCAGACATTATTAAATGCAATACAGGCAAGTTCAAACAATGATCAAATAAATTACAAGAACAAATGTATAAAATATTGTTAAAGACAGGCATAATTAAATGTAATACAGACAAACAAAATAGTACTACAATGACATTCTAAACACGATGTACGTATGATACTCACATTCTAAAACAAGTCTATGAACTTCATAATGTGTTCCATTCAGCTGAGAAAACTCACAACGAAATAATACATAATTATGGCAACATATTTGTAATTGTATATACGAACACACAATAAATGTCTCCACGCAGACATTTTTATTTCTCTACATACAAAAATGTCTCCACCAATGTATTTATATTAATTACATATACAAAAAAAATCTACACCCTTGGACACAATTCTTCATTGTAAATCATTCTTCAAGTTCCACAGTCG